TTTTTTTTTTTTTTTTTTTCCTGTTATTCTTGTTATTTAAATTTGTTTTAAGTGAGATTATGCGTATTGACTCTTTTACCCTTATTTAAATTAGTCAAGGAAGAATTTATGAAAGTTTGGTCAACAACGGTATTTTAGACGGAACTCTCCATATGTTCTTTTGGCACACATTTATTAAAAAGTTGGAGATATAGGTGCTAAAATTAGAAGATTTAAGACTCGACGGTACATTTTCGAAAAGTTTGTTATTGTAGACTATCGTTCCATTGGTAGGCTAACTAGAAGCTTGCATGTATAACTAGTGACGGAGCTGGAAACATGACTTAATTGAATATAAATTTATTGAAAGATAGCGATAACTCTAATATATTATTATGCCGATGATTTTATATCAAGAGTTTGGGATGCAAAACGTATATATTGACATATTCTTAAGTTAAAAAAATATTTTTATTGAAATAACCACTACCTTTTGAAAATAAATTAAATTCATTTAACAATATATTTTAACTTATTTTTGAAGCTTAACTAAACATATGTAATCCCAGCCCCTTACAAACCCAAGTGCTTTTTACACGACCGAAAGTCTTGGAGCATATCTGGGATAGCTTAAAAGCTCCCTAAAATAGAATTATTGACATTGGTGGGGCGGTGTGTTGGTATCTTTTGTATTATATTTTAATTAGAAAAAAGAAGAAGCATGATTCACGTTTTCAATTTTTTAAGGAAAAATTACAGCCACGGTACCAAACATTTCATTTAGTTGGAGACTTTGTCCAAATTTTTCATTTGTACCACTCATGGTACCAAACTTTAAAAAAAAACTCACACCCGAAGTCTCAATTTGGATTCCAGGTGCGAGTTTTTAAAAGTTTGGTACCGTAGGTGACACAAATGAAAAGTTTGGGCAAAGTCTGCAACTAAATGAAAGGTTTGGTACCGTGATTGCAATTTTCACTTTTTTAATGCAAAAAAGACCAATACATTGACAATATGAAGTTTATATGACGCAAGTAAATTCCTTCCATGATTAAAGGAATATTGTATACGAGGAGACCAAGACTTTAACTATATCAAGTTTATGGGACATAAGTATGATTAAACAAATATTGTATGCGTATTTTATATATATATATATAAACTTGACATGGTTAATGTCTTGGTCTACATATTCATATAATCACACACGTATACAATATTCATTTAATCAAAGAAGTATATTACATAAGGAAAAATGCTACTTGTACATCAAGGCCTACATTCCCTCACATGGAGGGGTCCACTTGAATAAAATATTCGAGTGGGCCCCTTACACATGTGAGGGGGGTGTACACCGTGATGTACACCCCGATGTACTGGTAGCATTGCTCTTACATAAGTCCCATAAACTTGACATAATTTAAGGTCTTGGTCTCCTCTTGAAGATAACAAAGTAGCTCGTATAAAATATTCGTGTAATCGCGGCAAGATTTCACTTAGGTCCCATAAACTTGATATGCACCAACGTTTTCTTGGTTCCTAAAAATGACTAATGCATCCATGTTAATTATTGAGTTTATGTGGTGCGAGTGGGATGGGGTAGAGTTTGGGGCCCTTTTCTTGTGTGGAAGCAGAAGGACTTTACAGGATTATATAGATTTTGGTATCTGAATTACTTCGTTTCAAACTTGAGAGTATTGTGTTTATTTGGCTTGCAAATGGAAATAGAGTTAAAAACACTTGTGAATGAATTCGAATTAATTAATGGGTAGGAAACAACCGAAAATTGATCATTACCATAATTAATTTAGTTTTTTAATACATTTCATTAAATATTTAAGATAGATTGTATGACGTTTTGATATAAAGCAAGCCTACACCACGATAGACTCTAAAGATAAAGATGACAACAAAGCGACAACATGTCATTTTCTCCATCCCTATCCGACCTTTTAGAACGACTCTTCTCAAACCCATCAAATTGAACCAACAAAATAATCCCAAAAATATGGAGACGGAACGTAGAGAAAGTAAGAAAATTGTCATGATCAACCACTACTCTACTTAGCGTTCAACAACAATGAAACTTTCGACTTGGTTCAAGATTCCAGCACCACAAAAATTCTCAGCGTGGCCAAAAAACAATAACAACTTGTTTGAAATCGATAATTACACTAATAAATTGTATTAAATTTGAAAATAAGTTCAAATTTTGTTTTTCGTACTATTCAATTCAATCTTGTACTGTGTTCCAAGCCTTTATCTCCTTTACTTTGATGCTTTTAATTTAAATTGTCTTCCTAGTATTCATTTTGTCAGAGTACTATTTTATCTTTACATTGCCGTAGGGTTTTTTTTTAAGCATTTGTTATTATTTTAACACCTTTAAGTAAAATACTAAGCTTTTGTTCCAAGTATTGGTTGTTCTTCGCTATTCATGCGTGAATTAAAGAAATGCGATCGCGTATTAGTGTCACTTCCTATTTTAGTGAACCCTTTCCATTTTGGCGAACCTTAAAGAGTTATTTGTGGGAGGATGTCCCGACAAATTTGATCCAATTTTAAAAGAGAAAAAAAGGTCCATATGAGAGATGAGAAAATCGAAACTTTCATTTACATCCTAGTTTGTTCGACTCTTCATTGTAGTATTGTGTGCGGTCTAGCTATAATTTAAGATTGCATAGAATTTATGAAGAAAGATTTGTGAAACAATTACCATACCAAATATGTGAAAGATGCGTGACAATTGACAAACTTCATGGTCGGCAAATTGATCTTAACACCTATTCATTTTGTCAAAATTCATTCAATATGACAAATCAATTCCATTTTTGTGATATAAATAGATACATATATAAAGAAAGTGCGGGCAACTTAGGATGAATCTGAAAATGCACGTTCTCATTCATACAGTGCACTTCACTTACATGTGTTTCCGCAATGCCTTAGGACAACCTCAGAACCTGCTATAGTAATTAGGGTTGGACAAAATGTCCGAACCGAATCGAACCCAAACCGAACCGAACCGAACCGAACCAAGCAGGTTTTTTAAAATGAAATACCCGAACGGGTATCCTAATCGAGAATCGAATGGTTTGGTTTGGTTCTCGGTTCTCGACCAAGAACCGAATAAGAACCGAATTTTTTTTTTATATTGGATAAATCAATTTCTTTTATTTTTTCTAAACAAATTAATAATTTTTTTCTTATTAAATCTTATTAGTTGAACAATTTAGAGTTTATTTATGTTTGTTAGTTGTGTTTTTTTCAATTTTTTCTTGTATAGTTTCTTAGTAGTTAGTATGGAAAGTCAACCAACTGATGATTACATTAAATAGTTGGTAAGTATTATCAATACTTTAAAATATTTTATCTTTGTGACTTCTAATTTATATTTCACTTTTATGTAGACTTGAAAGTTTGAAACAAATGAATTATTGATATGAATATCGAAGTTTTATTAGTAATATTTATTTTTTGGTATTTGTATTTGACAACTTATTATTTATATGTTATTAAATTAGATTGCGTTAATTTGTAAAAGTTAAGATTAAACTTGGTATTTGTATCTATTTTTTGTTATTAATATTGGTATCCACTTTCAGGTGTATTTATGTAGTATTATTTTAAATGTTAAAAAATTTAATTATAGTACGGAACCGAACCGAAACCGAACGGTTCCAAAATTATATTTGGAACCGACGGTTCCATTTACTAAATACCAGAAAATTTCTGGAACCGAAAAAAATCGAACTGACCCGCGCCACCCCTAATAGTAATAAAAGCAAAGATTTTTTTGACATGCCTCCAAATGTATGTACTTATGTGTCTTATAAAAGTGACTCCATGTGTTTCCGCAATGCCTTAGGACAACCTCAGAATCTGGTATAGTAATAAAAGAAAAGATTTTTTTGACATGCCTCCACATGTATGTACTTATGTCTATGGATGGCAACGATTCGATTCGGGGTCGGTTCGGTCAAAATCATAACCGCACTATCAAATTTTTGGCTATGCCATAATCGCACCATAACCACGAAAGTCGGTTCGGTTCGACTCGATTAATATTTCGGTTTGATTTGGTTCGGTTCGGTTAATAATCACGAAAATAAATTATTTTTTATAAATCCAAACTCCAACCGTCAAATTGAAAAAAAAAATATATGAAGAAAAGTCAATAAAAAAAAAACATGTCAAGACATTTGAAAAATAAAACACATCAATCGAACATATTTAGAGCCAGTAGTTTGAGTTTCGGCAGTTTTATTTGATCAGAATCCACAATCACCTCCTGAAAGCAAGACAAGGCTGGAGAATTTGTGATTTCATGTAATCTTGGCCATTAAAAACATAAAAGAAAGATAAAATCAACATGAATATATTCAATCTGGCTGAAAAACAAATCTTAATAGGTCATTCTTCAATGCACATCACATGTTCAATTTCAACAGAAAGCATGCTTAATCAAATAAATCCCAAGATCACAAACATGTTCCATTAAAAAAAGAAAACTAGACACCTGAATCACCTTGAAGACTTAAATCGATCTGAAATTGGAGAAATTGGAGAGAAATCAAAATTGATCATAAGGCTATCAATGTTATTCACAAACAAATCTTTATCAATCTTTATGTAATGCTCATTACAGATTCTACTGAAAGATTGCTAAATCAAACGTATCTCAAGATTTTAAACATGATAAATTGTAAAAAATAAAGCTCGGATGCATCATGAAAACTCAAAATTGACTGGAATTGGGGTAACTAGAGAAAAAACCAAAACTAATCATTAAACTACCAATGTTAATTGGAAACCAAACTTCATAAATTCTTCTTCATTAACCATTGCAAAATCAATAAAAATACTGCTAACTTAAACAAATCCCAAGATCTCAAACATGTACAATTCCAAAAACTAAACAATAGAATCATCAAGAACACTCATAATCACCCCGAAACTAGGGAGGAAGAAATCGACACTTACGGGAAAGAGGGCATGATTTTCCTTGTGAGGGATGTAAGGATCCTTCTTCGAGAAAGAGAGTAGGATTTTCCTTGTCGCTTCTCAAAGCTGTCACTATAGAAAGAAGAAACATCTCATGCTATCTAAGTGCAGCGAAAAGCAGTTGAGGAAAGATAGCCCATCAATTCTTAATCGTTACCTTTTCAATGGTGAGCGGTGATGGTGAGGGCGAGTTGAGGCAGAGCGGCGACGGATTTGAATGGAAGAGAAGTGGAGACTGTAGGGTTACGACAAGAGTCACAAGACATAGTTTTAACTTTTAACGTGTAGGTTGTATATTTAAATTAGACTATCTCGACAGTGGACTGGGTTAAAAACTATAAATAGTGTTAGGTTATTCATTATTGATTTACTTAAGTTAATTGAGCTAGAATTTTGGGAAGTCCAATTGTCAAAATTGCCCAATTAATTTTGGAAAAGAATGACGGAAAGTCCAATTAAATTTTTTTTAACGGGTAATCGGTTCGGGGCGATGCACCATCGCTAAATACCATACCCGTCCCTAAATAAAGCGGTTCGTTAAAATCAAAACCATAACCGCCCCATTGCACCATCGGTTCGATTTTTTTCGCCCCATTCAGTTCGGTTAACCGTGGTTTTCGGCTTTAACAGTTCGAATTGACATCCCTATGTCTTATAAAAGTGACTCCAAGTTGATGCAATTGAACTGCCAGTTTTATTAAATATGCAGTAATGGCCTGTTATCTTCTTCCATATTCCATAGTATGGAGCCTTACCCGGAAAATTCTTACTGCTCGGTAGCTTCTCCATCCCACCTGCACCTCAAAAGATTTCACAGAGAACACATGAAAATACGTTAGCTTTAAGGCAACTATGGACTCCTACACCATGGATTCTTTAAATGCTTGTTCCAAAGGACAATCAAATTCTAGTATGAATTTAATACTCCGTCAGGTATTACCAAGAAAAAAAAAACTATATTATTAAAGAAGAATTTATCAATCAGCTTCCCTAGTACAAAGGATGCAACCGGAAGAAGATGAAGAACTTTAAATTTCTGCAATGCCCGTGATGTATTTTAGCCAGAAATATGCAAACATGATAAGAAATCTTTCATGAGAAGTGAAATTGTATTGCAGTTTATTAGTAGATGTAGGCAAACAATTGCAAAGTGTCTACCAAGATTGCGCGGTAGTCTAGAATTTAATCGCCACAAAATGACTAAAGAACCCGAGTTTCAGTACACTGCTCAGAACTAAACAAATAAAAAGCAAAAAAGGCAACCATGTTCAAAACGTGATGATAGTGTGTGTAATCATAGCTTAGAATTATGAAGGCATTTACCTCGCATGCCTACAATCTAATCATTAGCATTCACATATATTGGAACAGAGAAATATCATAAATAATTACACTGGACCTGGTGAAATCATAACAGCCAGATAGTCCAGATAATCAAGAAAATTTAGGTTTAGGAATGGATGAAGTATTATGATGCAAGGGACCAAGTTTTTTAATCCAATGGCGCAGTCCCTTCTTGTGATCTTGACACACTGGATTTTGTATTAGATTCAGGGTTCCATCACGAGCAAGGGAAGACTCGAACTGCTCTAGTACCTTCACAATCTGCCAAAACTCTGGCCTCTTGTCTGGTTGCACTGACCAACATTGGTCAATCAAGGCTCTCATCGAAAGGGGACAATCATCAGGGATAGCAGGTCTCAAATTCTGAAAGAACCCCAACAGAAATTGGTTTATAAAGATTAAATGGCACGAAAGTACATACTTCGAATTTTGCAAAAATGGGGCAATGATATAAAATGGGAAATCTTTTCGCCCACATGACATTCAATGAATGCATTATATCACATTTTCCAAATCCATAAGCAGCTGCAGATTACTCATAATGTAAAATTTTGGCAGAAATTTGCCATGAATCGCTCGTCTCTCAAAGTGGCAATTTAAAAATCGTGGCATCACTGGGAGCAATCACCCAGTAAATTATGTAATCCTTATAGTGCTTAGATATTTCATTTCCTAGGAAATGGTGCAAACTTATTCAAGCCATCTAAATAATGAATAAAAAAACCTATGGATGGAAACTTGCAACTACTGAAATGAAGTAGAGTAAGGCCAAATAATTGACAAAAACGCTCAAAGTAAAAAAAGAAAACCCAGCTTTAAAACATCACCAACAAAACTGGAGTTTAAACCATAATAAACCAGCATCAATGTGATCCGTATGGATGTTTCAAACAAAAAGGGCATTCAACGACACTATTATGCAGAAATTTAAAAATATCATAAATATACAAATGAAATAGGAAAACAAATCTTACCTTGTTAACTACAGCAAAAGCAGCTTGTATGGGAGTCATATCTTCGTATGGAATGGTTCCAGCCACAAATTCCCATAAAATGAGCCCAAAGCCATAAACATCTACCTTCCGACCATACTTCTTCTTTCTGATCATCTCGGGTGCCATCCAACGGTAAGTGCCTGGATCATCTGCCAGAAGATCACAATATGCTTCCCCACAAGCTATACCAAAATCAGCAACTTTTAGGCTGAAATCTTCGTTGATGAGTATATTTTCTGGTTTAAGGTCTCTATGAATAACGCCCTGTGAGTGAATATATTCCATTCCTCTAGCAATGTCCAATGCCAATGTGATTAACTTTTGCAACGGAACAGGTTTATGCTCAAGCTTGTGCAAGTACGATCTCAAAGAACCCTCTGATAAATATTCTGTTATAATGCAAAACACTGGTGGCTTTCTGCAGGCTGCCATGAACTGCATTTCAAGATCATTGCAATTGAAATCAGAAAGGACTCTCGCGAGCCAATTATTCTCAATTTTTATAGTTATTAACATTTAATTTTTTTCTGCTTATCATGTGAATCTCAAATCAAGCCAAGAATTTTAATAGAAAGAATTTATACATGATGAAGCAAAGCATCAATCGTCAAAGCAATTAAAATTAAATACTTCATAGAAAGGACAGGCCAACAAGTTAGTCTACCTTTATAACATTTTCATGGTCGAAACGAGACAAAAGGGTAGCCTCCCTAGTGAATTGCTTCTCTAACCGACCGCCCAGGTCTCCATTTTCGTCATCATCTGGCACTCTGATTATTTTCACTGCAACAGGTTGTTCCTTGAAAATCCCATGGTAAAGCTGACTGTGTGCTCCATGAGCAAATCTTAGCCCAAGAAACAACTTAGAAAGATCAACCGTAAACTCGTCCGCAGTTTCTACAGAGGTGACCCTTCCCCCACCATGATCAAAATACTTGGTCCACGCTGACTCTTTCCGACTCCTAGTCTTCTCATGAAATTTCATTGATGCAAAGTGCCTAAGAGGACTAATATTTGCAGGCGACTTTGAACCAGATGAATTCGAATTAGGTGCCTTGATATTGCAGGAATCTTTATGAAACAATTTGCCAACAATTCCCTTCTCTGCTCCTTTTCTTTGGGGAAGTGGAGTTGAGAATCTCTTCTGACTAGATCGAGCCTCTTTAAAGGCATCAGAAAGCTTTGTTTCAGGGTGTGGGGATACAGACCGGTTCTTGTTTGTGGTTGGGTTTCGCTGAATCTGTGCCATCACAACCTCAGGTTTTTTATTCACGTTAGATGTTCTTGGCCTCGATTTGGCACCCGGAATTCTATCTGGCTGAATAGTTAGAGGAAGAGAGGCCAATCTTGAAGCATCCAACCTATGACAAACAGTGTGAGAGAATTTTGTTCTCCTTATCCAAGAATTAGCCTCTTCCTCCATTTATACCAAATCAAACACCCTACAGGCTACCGCCTACTACCAACTCTATTTCCTTTCCTCCAGTTCAAAATCAAGATTTTCCAAAATCTCTATATGATGTATAATAACCTGTGCAGCAAAGTTCTTGAATTCCATTAGAACATGAAGAGTGAAGAATCAAATTCCACCACCAGCGAAACTATGCAACCAACCAAGAGTAAATAAATCCATAAAAAAAGATCTACCACCACAACAATTAGAATCAGATAACACAAATAATTGCCAAAAAAATGTCTCAAACTCTTGATCTACTTGCAGGTTGATCAAAATTTTACTCTTACGTCGATTAAAATCATTCATCCACACCTATGAAACACCATTTCCTACAGAATCAAAATCTGATATTGACCTCAGACAAGAGAACATACTCCTTTTAGGTTCAAAGTGAAAAACCACGTTCCTTGAAAGCCTGAAAATCCCAAATACAGCCCAAGAAAAATGAATAAAAATATAAGAAACTGCACAAATCAACCAAATGCTCGTATAAAAAAACAAAAGTGCAATCAGTTAGCTTGAAAATCAAGAAACACCCATCATTATATGCACCATTGGCCACTATTAAAATTATTCATTGCTTAGTACAATCACACAACCCCCACTTAAATAATTAAAAAATAGAGATAAGAACCCTTTTTTCTGAAACAGAAAAATAACAATACCCGTATTACGCATACGCATACAAAAAATAAAAAAGAAAAAGGGACCTGACTTACCAAAACGTTATATCTCATGATATACTTCCTCTATTCTTGAAAATAAAATACAGATTCTACAAAAAAAAAAAAGGCATCTTTGACACAAACTCTCCTTCTTTCACCAATAAACGATTATTTTATTGATGGGAAAAGCTCAAAGTCCATGTACACGTATGCACACAGAGGAGGATTCCGGTGGAACCTGTTAAGGTTGGGAAGACGAAGATGGGAGGTGGGGTCCGCTTCCGAAAGTCAAGAATAGTGGGAGAGAGAAAAATACGGTTAATAAGGTAAATTACAGTTGAGATCCTCAACCTACAAACATAGAAATTAGATCTTCAACATATTATTTTAGCGACTATAATTACCAATCTTTCATTGTTTTAGCTTTAGCACCAGAGTCCTCGACAATTTAATCTTTATGTTTGATGAAAAAATAAAAATAAAATTTGAGAATAAAGATAAAGTTTTGTTTTTTAACGTAAAATAGAGCTTTCATTTTAACACAAAGACAGAAATAGAATCGTCTTCTAATATTACGAAAATGAAAGTGGAGATTGAGTCTGCGAAATATTTTAGAATGAAGACCAATTTGCCATATTTGTAATAAATGGGGACTCCGATTATAAAATACTTCGATATTATAACTGGAAGAATAGAAGAGTTGTTATCAAAGAATTGTAGTACGGAGGAGCTTGTTTGGTACAGCTTCTTTTTTCTTTTTCTTTTTTTCACTTGTTTGATACGGTTCACACATGGTTACAAACTTACTGTTCAACCAGATATTATCGTACGTCAACTTCGAACTGTTTTTTTTTTTTTTTGAAAAAGATCTTTTTCTAATAAATATGGCCATTTGTTATTTATGAAATTTTTTCATTGGTGGTAGTTGAAATTTTTTCATTGGTGGATTAGTCGATGTGCGCGCAAGTTGGTCCGAACATCTACGGTTATAAAAAAAAATGATGACCATCGTGTCAACTTATGTTATGTCCTCTTTTTTGGGATTAAAATTAAGATTTCTTTATTTAAGTCAACGTTAATAATTAATTTTAATTATATATTTTTTAACAGGAGATACACAAATTTTTAATCACAAATAAAAAATATAATTTTAATCTTCATTAAACAATGACTATATTTTTTGAGACTACGATACGAGATATCTAATTTAATTTTTCTTAACCTCATTTTTAGTTATTTATTTGACACGTAATCATTTCAAAATTTGATGTGTGTACAATGTGTAATATCTATCCAAAAGGTAAGGGCATGTTCTCTTTGGTGTTTTCAGACTGTTTTCTGTTTTCGATTTTTTAAAACGGTGAAAACTCGTTCTCTTTCCCATTTTCGAAAATGAATTTTGGAAAAAAAAAAGTACTGAAAATACAAAACAGCCAAAACTACGTTTTCACCGTTTTCAGTACAAAACACGGTGAAATCAAAAAACATGGGAATCACCGTTTTCAACTTATCCCCTCTCTCTCTCTCTCCTCCCCCCTCTCCCGACTTCCTCTGGTTTCCATTGTCTTCTACCCCACATCTCCCACGCTCTTCGTTAGGAGCTTTCCGACGCCGATCCGCCTCCGATTTCCCAACGCCTTTCCACCTCCAACGCCTGTCCCGCAGATTGGCGCCGTTCCTCAGCCGCCTGTCAAAATTGTGACTCGACCCGTTGATCTGCCCCTTACCAGTAGCCTCAAAATCAGGTAAGCCCAACCTATTTTTTTGTGAGTTGTCTTCATTATTTTGTTAGTATTGTGGAGTATTGTTGAATAGAGAGGTATGACGCTCCGATTTCAAAAGGGTCCTTACGCTTGGTTGGATTTTACCCAGTTTTGTCAATTTATATTTCTTTTCTAAATGACATTCTACAGAATATTCAAGCCTAGACTAGAAAACCATCTATTACTGAATAAATGACATTCTGCAGATTTGACTCATTCTTCATCGGATCAGGTCAGGAAGCTTAAGGTAATGTAATAAACTCTCTTCGTCAATGATTTTGTTATCTCTTATGATTCACGGGATTATTTTCAATTCCAATTGATTGTAAATGGGTGTTTATTTAACTTCACAATTTTAGAATTTATTCATTTTTTCCTTGTAATGATCATAATGTGGGTGTTTGATATGGATCGACATAAAAAGTGGGTACCTAATGATGGTGTCGTCGATTCTTACTCTTGATTCTTTTGTTCTTTTGTTATGTCTTAAGCTAACATGGTTTTTATGATTGGGAAATTCACATCAATTAATTTATGTTGGCTAGTAATATATGCTATTGTACAGTATTCGTAGTGGACACTTATATTAAATGTTCTGTTGATTTGTTAAGATCAGTTCCTCGTGAAAATGTGCTGGTTTAATCAAGGAGATAAGTCTTGATTGGGCCTATTTTGTTAGGATCAGTTCCTCGTGAAAATCGCGTTTTGTCTCCGTTCTTTCCTCCAAACTTTATTCTGATTTATGCATTTTCTTAACTTTTTTCGTGATGTTAGTTGTGGCTCTTGTATTGTCAGAATTTAATGTTGTAAAATCAATTATTTGCAGGCCTATTCTCATGGATATGTGGAGAAGAATTTAATTTAAATTCCTCCTGCACTCAAAGAACCATCATAGATTACATGAATCTTTTGATGGTCTTTGTTTATTACTCGATCTTGACTGTGGGTTCTCAATGTAAAAACAATTTCAGGCAGCATAGATGCGATTGTATTACAAAAACAATTTTGATTTGCTGTGTTCTTACAAGCATCGAGTATTTGGGGGCTGGTTTATATATTGTTATTGCCAAAGATAGTGAATTTAGTCATCAAAACTGGTTAGCATACTTTGTCAGAGGATTGATTTGGATCACCCTTACGGTGTCTGTGCTGGTACAAGGATTAAAGTGGATTGATGTTCTGAAATCTGCATGGTGGATTCTGTATTTTCTGTTGATTTCAGCTGTAATAAGAACAATGTGTGCTGATTTATTACAATGCAAAATAAGAACAACCCTCGATAATTATAATCTGGATATATAGGAGTAAGTTCTTAGGAATAATGTCCAAAGTAAGGTTGGGTGGCACCTGAATACTTGGGATGTATGTCATGCCTTGAATTTAGAACTCTGTTTCTTTGATTTGCTGGAAACTTATGTAATTGTGAAATGAGTAAATTTTGCTATGTCTATTTTGAAGTGAAATCATGTCGAATGAAGTGGTAATCCTTAATAATCTCTTTATTTGTGACTTTCTCAATTGGAGGTTGATGCCAATGCACTAACATTATCTCAACAGATGAGAGGAGGAGCTGAAAGTGATATATTATTTCAAATACAGATAAGGAATCCACCATGCAGATGATTTTGTGTTCTTTTTCTACTTGTCTGTTGTTTTGTGCTTGAAACTAATGTATTTGATGATTTTGTATTGTAATTACTTGGTTAACAGATATAATTTAGGTTCCATTGCATTGTGTTTACCTGATTTTGGCATTAGTTCATATATGCTATTGTTCTACTGTTAATTAGATGATTTTGGAATTTGTTAATTTTTGCTATATTCAATTGTTTTTGAACTTCTCTTCTAGTGAGGTCTGACTAAAAATTGTTCATTCATAGGCAAAGCTTGTTCCTCAATTGTGTAGACTACCGTAAATGCAGACTTCAATGAGGACCAGCTCTTGATATTGTAACAAGCTGTTCAAGGGGGTTCATGTAGTGGTTGAGAGCACCATGGTTGACCATGGTGGAGGATTTTCAAGAGATAGTGGCTGCAGAAGTTCATCTCTTTTTTCCCTTCTTATGTTACAAGAATTACCTTCTTATAGAGTTTAATATTCTCTTGATGAATAAGATTTCCCTGTGAATATATCCATGGAGCATTTGTAATAGAGAAGTTCATCTCTTTTTTCTTAGAAAATTGGTCATGTTGTTCTTCAGTCATACATTTAGATTTAGTCCTTAAAACTCGTCAGTTAATACTTGTTCCTGTGAAGAAAGATGATCATTCATTCAGCACAAGCTAATTAAATGAGCTTTAAATATTTTTCGAATCATTAGAAAGAATATTAGTAGTACGAGAATAATACAATATAAGAAGTAGTAAGGAAGAAAAATGACCTGAAATATTGTTAATAATATTGTCCATTTTTTTTTCCAATATTGAGTACCAAACATGCACCGAATGGATAAGACATCAAATGTCATCAACATGGATATCTGACCTCGATAAGATTAGTTTCAAAATATTTATTACCATGTCAACATGATATTAGCGCTCTCTTTTTTTGCAACTTAATTAACTTCAAAATTTATATTTTATTTAATACTATATTAATATTAAACTATTAAAATTTATTGAATAATCACATTTCGTGAATAAAGTATTATAAAAAAATATTCTCAAATTTTCATATTAAACACGTTTTCAATTTTTATGTTTTGAGAAANAACATGTTATTTAATACTATATTAATATTAAACTATTAAAACTTATTGAATAATCAGATTTCTTGAATAAAATATTATTAAAAAAATTCTCAAAAATTTCAAAGTAAACGCGTTTTCCATTTTTATATTTTCAGAAACAGTTTTTCAAAATGGCAAAAAGAACGCATTTTCAGAAATTTCAAAATATACACTCAAAACACAAAACACAAAATGAATTCAAAACTCAAAACACAAAACTGAAACACAAAGAGAACAGCCCATAAGTATTCGGTGTCTCGTGTTTGATATGGTTTGTCTCATACTGAAAATTGTGTGATTGGACGTTATTGTCCTTTTATGTTAGGAAAGCTTTTGTTAGTGTTGAGGGACTAGGTAACTGATTATAATTTCTAGGGTCTGGAAAAGGATTTTAGGGTTCTGTCGAGAATAAATTGGAAGTGGAGAGTCCGAAGGGTTTGTTATATAGCTGGTCGATTGAGATAATTACTGTTGGACATTTTCAGTGTTTTTAAGTACTTGAAATTTGTATGGTTTATATGTGTTCGATAGAGAGTTTGGAGGGTGTTTGAGAAACTCTAAAAGAAGAGAGAACACAATTGAACGAAAGGATTTTGCTGTTTCTAGTTTTTTTATTGTGATAAATAATGGTGAATTCTAGAGGGTTTAATTCTTAGGGGTTTTGGAGATAGTGTTGGTTATGGTTTGGTTTTGGACATTTGTTGGATGTGGACATTTAATCATAACAATAGAAAAATTAATTTTTCTTTGAAGATTAAACTCAAATGCGTGGTGGATCTTAGATCACTTTGACATCATATGATTTTTTTATTTAAATCTTCACACATAAAAGTGGAATGATAACCTTGAATGAGCTTTTAATGGCATAACCAAATGCTTCCTCCCCTAGATCTTCTCTCTTGTACTCCTTAAGTGCCTCTCATTTCTTTTGGGAAATGAAAAATGGTAAAACCCCTAATTCATGCCCAATGTGCCCTTAAATGGCATATTTATAACACACAATTAGAGTTTCATATTAGCACAAATTTCTTTGGACTTTATTGTAGTTGACCAATTAAGTCACGCATCTTTATTAGAGCCAAAAGAGGAACCTAATCGGACTCACAAGACTCAAACTCCAATAGATGTTTCAATTGGGTCAACTCTTGACCAGTTGAGATACATCTATAAATCTTGACTTACTCTACTAAAAAATGGGGGTTGCACTCTAAAGTCGAGTGAAAGTTATGGAATCCAATTATGATTTGATAACAATATCCTCCGATTATCGTTCCACAAGTCAACCCCTGTTTGACCGTGAATATGTTGAAGTCGACAAAATGACTATTTTGCCCTTCAACATGTATTACCCTCTAAGTCTCATTTCATAAAGCGAATTCATTGTGATCACATCATAACACCAAGTCCAACGATCTAATAATTGGGCTACTGAGCTCAGGTTCAATTCCCTTTAGAAAATATCTTAGAATAACGATCGTCTCATCACAATGATTAACGGATTCTACTATTGCATGTATATGATCTCTAATTATTTCGCCCAGATTTCCAAAGCACCGAGATCGATCTTATAATTAAGAATTTACTCATTGATACCTCAAAGAACTTGAACTAGCAATTAAAGGTACATTACCTACTCAGGATTTAGGTGACTTGTTTGATAATCGAGAGGTGTCTCATTTCGAGCGGTCACAAATGAGTCATCCACGCGATCGTGTTCAATGTAATTCAAAACACGTTATTGTTCTTATTCCCAGATCTAGACAATCTTAATAAGAATAATGCAATCTTATCAATATAAAGCGTCCAACTTCATGAACCGATTGTGAACGACATATTTTGATCATGTAAAGAATTGTGTNCATATTTTGATCATGTAACGAATTGTGTCTCACTATACCCAAACTGTCGAGTATACAATTTGCTATATTTCATATGATCATAGAACCTTAGATTATTGTCGCAAATTCTAACACGCGAATAATTGAACGTTAATTCATAATGTCGTTATAATATACTTACTACAAAAAAGGGCACCAAACTAACAATCACCCAATTGCCGTTTTAAAGTATATGTGACATATCAATAATATCAATCCTCTTAAGATACTCATCAAAAACCTTAGCTAGTAAGCTCTTGGTGAACGGATTCATAAGATTATCTGCTGATGTAATCTTGCTAACCGTTACGTCTCCTCGATGAACAATTTCTCTAACATTTCCTCTCAATGTGCTTGCCACGATGATGTCTCCTTGATTCCTTGGCATTGGCAACGGCTCCACTATTATCACAATAAAATGTTATGGGTTCCATTGCCGAATGTACTAGTCAAGGTCCAAGAGAAACTTTTTGAACCATACAGCCTCTTTAGTAGCTTCACAAGCGGCTATATATTCTGCCTCCATGGTGGAATTGAAAATACAAGATTGCTTAATACTTCTCCATACCACGGCTCCACCTCCCAGTGCAAATACTGAACCAGATGTAGACTTTTTAGAGTTACGATCGGATTGAAAATCAGAATCAGTATACCCAATAGGATTCAGATCATGTCCTGAATAGACGAGCATATAGTCTCTCATTATCCAATGTTTTGGTCCTGGATTAGACTGATAATGACTAACAATACCCACATCATAATAAATGTCTGGTCTAGTGCAAAGCATAGCATACATGATGCTTCCCACAGCTGAGGCATAAGGAACCTTCTTCATCTAATCTATCTCTGTCAGAGTTTTGGGAAAATGCTCCTTAGATAGATGAATTCCATGTCTAAAAGGGAATTGTCCCTTTTTGGAATTCTGCATTGCGAATCTAGACAATATTTTGTCAATGTATGAAGTTTGGGATTATTCTATCCTTTTATTTTTCCTATCTCGCAAGATACGGATTTCCGAAACATAACTAGCCTCTCCTAAGTCCTTCATATCAAACTGCTGTGACAACCATTTCTTTACGGATGACAATGTCCCTACATCATTTCCGATGAATAGAATGTCATCCACATAAAGAATTGACAACCATTTCTTTACGGATGACAATGGCCCTACATCATTTCCGATGAATAGAATGTCATCCACATAAAGAAGCAGAAAAACTACTTTCTTCCCTTGCACATGCTTGTACACACAAGGTTCATCCAGATTTTGGTCAAAATCATAGGTCTTATGATAAGTTGGATGATAATGGCCTTGCTCCTCTAGGAACAAGAGTTTCAGGTGAGGATGTGCTTATTAGGAAGACCACTCCCATAACTCCGGATGATGCACAAGGGCAAGCTGCTGGTTACACTAAGCGTGATCATAGCACGAGTTTACGCTACAGTGAAACTGGGATGGTGGATCAGGTTTTGCTGACAACAAATGCTGATGGGTTGCGATTTGTCAAAGTGAGGATGAGATCGATTCGAATTCTTCAAATTGGAGACAAGTTTTGCAACAGGCATGGTCAGAAGGAAACAGTCGGTATGACTTAGACACAAGAAGATATGCCATGGACTATGGAAGGCGTCACTTCTGACATCATTGTGAATTCCCATGTTATTCCTTCTCGTATGACCATTGGTCAGCTTATTGAGTATTTGATGGGAAAAGTTGCAGCGCATCTGGGAAAGGAAGGAGATGCTACTTCTTTTACCGATGTTATTGTAGATAATATTAGCAAAGCTCTTTACAGATGTGGGTACCAAATGCGAGGTTTTGAGATAATGTACAATGGTCATGCGGGCAGGCAACTTATAGCTATGATATTCCTTGGCCCCCGTTACTACCAGAGGTTGAAGCACATGGTGGATGACAAAATCCATTCCCGTGGCAGAGGCCCCGTGCAAATCCTGACAAGGCAACTTGCTGAGGGACGGTCTCGTGATGGTTGTCTCCAATTTGGAGAGATGGAACGAGACTGCATGATTGCACATGGCGCTGCTCACTTTCTAAAGGAAAGGTTGTTTAACCAGAGTGATGCCTACAGAGTTCACGTTTGTGAGCTTTGTGGATTGATTGCTATTGCAAATCTCAAGAAGAATTCATTTGAGTACAGAGGATGCAAAAACAAAACTGATATTGTTCAGGTACGTATTTGTAAACCATTTTCATCCTTTACTAGGCCTCTCTCTCTCTCTGTGCATGTCGTGCGTTTGGTAAGAACTAGGAAGAAAGAAGTTGGTGGATATGAAGTGAGAGGGATGTGTTTCCTCCTAATTTTCCTTCCAGTTCAGTATTAATGCCGATTTCCCACCTTTGGTAGGAATTATCTGTGAATAGTAGGGTGGAACAATTTTCCTGATATTTCCTAGTGGATATGTGGTGGAAGCTTTCACCATAGATCATTTAGGAGAAAATCTAATTCAAATTTACTCTGCTCCTGATTCTCGTGCCCCTTTGAACATTCTACAAAAAATAAATAAATTCTTTCTGATTTCTACTCCAACCCTTCATGCCAATTTATTCCTCTTACCAGATACCCAATTTGTGCACAGTGTTTTCCTTGTCTTTAGTGGACTTCTATGTGAAATTATTCCCTTTGGTTCGTCCTTAACATTTTTAGACTATGAACAATTTTTTTATGCAGGTTCATATTTCATATGCATGTAAGCTACTTTTCCAAGAGTTAATGTCCATGGCTATAGCTCCGAGAATGCTCACTCCTTATCAAACAATCCAAAGAGCAAAAGAAGAAAGTAGCTTGATATGCTTGGCCCTAGATAGTTGCACCCAAGCAGCAGTTACTAAAGCAGCCTTCCTGACCACCTCATCGAGCTATGGCCAAGTTTTGTTTTCTTAAGCATATGGAGCCAAGTTTCCTTTTTTGGATATATATTTAGTTATTTACTCAAAATAACGTAAAAGAAGTCGAAGGAGAAAAGAAGTAGGCTAGATGGTTGCTTTCCCTAGGTATGTGAAGTTGTGAACTGGAAGTGCTTGCTCTGTATGCCCCCTCCAGAAGTTGCTCGCTGTTGATATTGATGCCCCGTTGCAACTCTTGATACCTCTTTTTGGATATGAATAGCTGGCTGTTTCTTGTGTGATGAATAGGTGTCTCCGTAACTTGCTCTTAAGGTGTACATACATTACTTGCTCTTGTTTTCGACTCTAAGAAGCTTGAGCTACACACTGCCTGATTGCTATTTATTTATTTTCCTTTTGAATCGTTACGGGCCCAAAAATAGCCCATGACACGAGCCGATCCGTGTGGCTCAGTAGGCTCGGGCTTGGGCCAATGCCCAAAAATGGACTTGGCTAGAGTCGTGAGTTTGGCCAACTCGAACTTTTTCAGGGTTGAGCCACGGGGCAACTCGAGCCTCGAGCGAAATTGGCACTCCTACATTTGTTTGGTCTGTTTTAATTTTTTCCTCGCCAACATCCAATCCAAAAAATTCATCTGTCTCCCTGGCAATAATTTGACAGCATTATTCTGTACAAGTGGCTTAAAGACGTTTGATTAATATTTGTATCTTTTTTATTATTACCCTTTCAAGTTGCATCTCAGAGAACCGCGTGGATTCAATGGTCAAACGGAACACCGAGAATTTTGCAAATCGTTTATGAATCAAAAATCAATCTAAATGAATTCTTGAATATCAGTCGGTTTCTTGAACTATTTTGAATTGGTTCATTTATGACTAGGTAAAAGTCGAAACAAATCCTTAAAGAAGTCCCATTACATTTTTGTTAATTTTTTTCGTGAAAACTTTTAAAATTGAAAAATAAACAAGAGTCGAGTAAAAAAAAAATCTGCTTAAGGACGCAGTTTAGACTGACGAAGCAAAACGCCACGCTGCATGTGATGAAAGTGAAAGCGGTAATGAAACATCCATTAAAATTTCTAAATATGTTAATAGAATAAATTCATCTATGTAAAGCAAGATTCATTGAGTTTAAATTAATGTGAATGTTAATTAATTACAGTATTTACTACTAATTAAAAATGAAATTAAAATAATATTGAAATGATTTAATTATAGTAGAGTTAAAAAATCGTCAAAAAAATTATTTTCCCTGATATTTAATATATTATAGATATTTTTTCTACTAGGAAGGAAAAGAAAAGGTAAATTATCCAATCACAAGGGACAAAATTAATTAAAGATTATTTTTACGGACAAGTACTTTTCTGAAGTGTTAATATTTATAGCTTTTGCTTATTATAATTGTAAAGATTATTATTCTGTTTTGGCTTCCAGAGATTCTGACCCCTAAGCAATGTTCAAGGGAAGACTGAAGACCCGTATATACACACTCATCGGACCCTGCCCTCCCACGTAATCAAATGTTATATAAAAAACCCCTCAGCGACTCTGATTTCTCTTAGTAATCCCACCACCAAACACCGCCGTCTCTCCTGAATTCGTCCTAAAAACATAAGAATCACAGTTCTGGTACGTGCATTTCAACTTCATGTTTCATTGTATGTGTAAATTTACAAAATAATTACAAGTTTATGCTTTTAAGTTTTGAAGAGGAACTGGTTTGAAGATATAGATCATCTAGCATCATTGTTTGTCTTTGATCGATTTTTTTCTTGGATCCCTTTTCTTCTTTCTTTTTATGTGTTGGGTTCATTTTGGAATCAATTGATTTGCCACCTATAGTTCCGTAATAAAGAACTCAACATGTTGTTGGTATTTAATTAAAAGTTAAAAAGTTTAATTGGGCTGTATATTAGTATGACAATTCTTGATAAATCAAGAACCTAAGCTCTAAGCAGAGCTTCTGTTAAGAGTCATCAATCATCATCCAGGAATGTTTGTTTTAGTTTGGGATCTTGGCATAACTTAGTGGAAGGAAATTTTCCAGAAAAAGGTCTTCTGTTTCTTAGATTTCTTTTGAAAAAAAATCATGTCTAGGCTAAATTACAAGAAAATGGACTAGCTTGTGTAGCGAGTTTGGTATAGTGGACAAGACAGTATTCATAGGAAGAAAGCTAAAATCTTGTCCTAATATCGCTTGCTGAAACTGGCTAATACCTTATTCATTTTTCTCGTTTGCAATTTGTATTATCGTATTAATAATCAAAATAATGCTACTTGCAGTCGCTCACTGCAACAGTCGCCCTATGTGGTACACACATGTCAAGTGTGTATTTGATGCATTAATGAGGTAAAAAACTACCACATTAATGCATCAAATAACTACATGTCATGTGTGTCCCACATAGGACGACTACTGCAGCTAGCGACTGCAAGTAGCATTACTCAAATAATCATACCTATTGTGGAAAATCTCTCTCTTTTGGATCCTTGTGGTGCTAAAACTTTGCTTCTATCGGATTATTCAAAGGGTGAAGTAGATGATGGTTAGCTACAAGGTTAGAGGTGGTGTGATACCTTATTGGCTTATTCAACAAGATAAATAGACTTGAATTTCTGCATTTGATCTTCAGAAAGATATTAATTAATTTAGTGTCTTGCAGTTTTCCCTAGATGTGATGGGAGGGTTAGAGTTTGCTTGGAAGCTACTCATAATTTTACGTTCTCCGACTTCAATTGTTGTATCACCTCTCTTAAGAATTGATGAAATCGGATGTCATATATCATGCTTCTTAAGAGGTGTCTGATCAAACAATGGCATGTTATATTAGATGGCACATGATTTCTTTGTCATCACAGATTCTTTTGAACAAGGGAGGTACATATATTTGAAGTCTTGTTACAGTTTGCAAAACCATAAATTATATATTTTTGACTGGGCTTTTTATGTTTTTGTCAAAAAATTTATTCAACATAATCAAGTGGGGAAAACTCTCCTTAAGCCTGCAAAATTTGACTTGATGCACATAAAATGTTCAATTTTTTTCCGAATTGAGTGAAGTCAGTAAACTATTTGGTCATTTCTGGACTGGAACTAATTTATTCGTTTTTCTTTTCAGAAATCTAAGGAATTGTAGCTAGCACAAATTCCATGAACACAAGAATGGCATTCGATCAATACTTTTCGCAGAAATGGAGTTCCATTCCCACTGCAGAATATGACTCTGAAAAGATTTCAGCCGGCTTCGATTGTAATATATGTTTAGACTATGCCCATGATCCAGTAGTTACCCTCTGTGGCCATCTCTACTGTTGGCCCTGCATTTACAAGTGGTTACACTTCCAGAGTGTATCCCTTGCTTCAGATGAGCTCCCGCAATGCCCAGTTTGCAAGGCCAAAGTATCTGAGAAAACAATAATTCCTCTTTATGGTGGGGGGAAATCTCTGTCTGAAGTCGAACATGAGGGCAAGATTATCCCTCCTAGGCCACTTGCCCGTGGTATACAACGTCCTGCGTATTTGTCCAATATTAATCAGCATCTCACATCACGTAATCCTTATCAAAACCCACAAGATCTCCCCAATCGTTATGCCAGATACGAGGAAGATTCTTCATCTACATTGTTTAACAGTGCGGCAATGGGAGTTTCTCCGATGATAGGAATGTACGGGGAGATGGTTTACGCAAGGGTATTTGGTAATTCGCAAAGCTTGTATACGTATCCTAACTCGTACCATTTAGTAGGAAGGAGTACCTCAAGATTGAGAAGAAAGGAGTTGGAGGCTGATAAGTCTCTGTATAGAATTTCGATTTTCCTATTCTGTTGTTTTCTTTTGTGCCTTCTCCTATTCTAGTTTTATTGTAGGAGTTTCTGCCACCTTCTTCTGTATGAGCTTGTACAAATTTATAAATTATTTGTGGTAGTCATAGATCAGTAGTAAAAAAAAATTGATGATTAATTTAAGCCTTTAGTCAAATAGAGGTTGCTACCAACTCCAGGGCAATCTTCTCTCTTTATAACAGAATTTGTGTGTAACAGTCTTGATAGGGAGGCGGTGAAAACCTTCAGAACATTTAAAAATACATTATTCAATATCCGTATGCTCAAGAATAGTCTTTTATAGTATTTGTCAAATATTTTGAACAACCATTTTCACGTTATACGACTTTAATAATGGACATCATTATTAGTTATGTCATACTCTTTCAATTCAGTCAAACTCTGTGGCCCTTCCTTGCTTGTTTGGAGTGTCCCAAGGAACAAAAACGTTTTTTTTAATCGTAATAACATATTTTGTAAGAAAGATTTATAGAGTGAAAAAGAAAAGTAAAATAAATTTTATTTAATTATTGTAGATCGTCTCATCTTATATTCGGCAACAAAGAAGTCCTTAATGTTTACGTGACAATTACAAAAATTTCACTCTTTCACCTAATCAACGCATAATATTGATCCTCAATTTACTCTTAATGGCATGGTAAATTAGAGAGCACCGAACAATATGAAACAAAAAAATCGTAATAATCATTCAATATTTCGCAAACGTTGGAAGCTTTAGAAAATATACACCATTGGAATATTCTCCTTTTATGATATTTTGGTCCAAGACAAAAGGTAGAACATGCACCAGAATGACCTCTTAAAAAGTGGATAAAAGAAAGAAAGATAGATACAAGCCACCTTTGACATGTCCCAGTAGTTTCCAAGAAAATATAGTATATAAGTAAAGGAAATGGAGCTAGGCTTTTTTTCTCTGAGGGGTGCTCTATACAAATTAATCAAGCATGGCTCCTCCAACAGGTGCACTGCTTGAAAGGGGGACGAGCCTGAAAATTGGGCAGTCTCCTAGGACTAAGTGCCCACCTCCATTTCTGTCCAAAACTTATGATATTTTGGAGGAAGAAGAAGAAGCTATAGCAAATGGGCAAAGGATAGTTTCATGGAATTATGAGGGCAATGGTTTTGTTGTATGGAATCCTGCTGAGTTTTCTGAGGTTATGTTGCCTAGATACTTCAAGCATAATAACTTTTCGAGCTTCGTTCGACAGCTAAATACCTATGTAAGTCTTGTTCTCCTCAATCTCGATCCTTCTTAATGTATGTATATGTGCATGCGTAAGTTGGCCAGAATAATGAGTCTTTTTCTCCTATGACCGTATAAGGGCGGCCGAGGAAAGATGCACATATCCCATCTACTATGCACGTCCGAGGTGTTAAAGATAATGAAACAAGTAATATACTTGTATAGCTTATAACAACTCAGACCTCTGTGCCCGAGCTATTATATAATATATGTACATGAAAATAATTTTTATATCTTTAACAAGTGGTTAAGTCTAAACTAGGGATTCAAGAAAACAGCATCCAAACGATGGGAATTTCAGCACGATAAGTTCCGGAGAGGGTATAGGCATCTGCTTCATGAGATCACTCGAAAGAAATGTGAGCCAAGCGCCTTTCCTGCATATCTTAAAGCCTCTGAAGAACACAAATCAACAACCTTGGAGGGAAATGCTCGAGTGCTAATGGAGGAGAACAAGAACCTGAGAAGAGAGAGATTGGAACTGCAAATGCAGCTAGCTCATTTCAAGACGCTGGAAATTAAGCTATTGGAATGCCTTTCTCAGTGCATAAGCAGCCATGGTCACCAAAGAAAAATTCCCAGGCTATGTTAGAAATAGGGGAGAGGTAGGTACGTTGTAATGAACAGTATCGACATAATGAATAAAAAGAGACACGAAGTCGAGTTCAGTCTAATCCACAACATGCCCTGATTCTTCAGTTCCCTAAACTAGTTGAAACTGGGAATAAGATAATTCTAATCGAGTTTTCGACATGCCTATGGCTGTGGCCTTCTTTCTTTCATGTTTTCCGTTTCTTCTGTAATATTGACTCCTCAAGACAGAACAAGGCAGCAACCGGAATTTCATGATTTCACTGTTCATAAATCTTAATGTATTATAATACTGTTTTTAAGGTAGAATTTTCTTGATCAACGGCATAAAGTTCCAGTTGCCACTTCTTCTGAAAAAAGCAAGGCCGTTCCATCAAATTCTGTCAAAAGTTTAGACTTTAGAACAATGCTAGTCAAAGATGATGAAAAAGCAAACATTTATCCTTAGAGATGGTATAAAAGTCTAATTTTTTTTTTTTATTTGACTGTAATAAGCAATGCTAGAAAGTTGAGAAAAGTGGCCTCAAGAGTTTTAATTTATTCTACTGTTACTAATTGTTACAAAATATTCCGGCAAGCGTACGGGATCGTTATACAAGTAATAATCGTGATGAGAAGGTTATCGTCCCACAAGGAGTAAAGCTTAATTCTAGTGTATTCGATATATATGAATTCGTGATTGTGACAAAATATATTGAGTTATATCTAGCTACGTTTTATAACTATGCGAGTAAAGAATATTTGTTTAAATTATATGTGATGAATGTACTGGATTTCCAACTCCACTCATTGACTCTTAAATTCAATTCTCAACTTGTGATAATTAATTCAGTCATTGCAATTATGACGATTGATAATTTCACTTTTATTTACTATTTTTTCCCAAGATTATCACAATACGATCATATCTCTAGTCCGCATTCATAGACAAACATGCATTGAAATATAGAATTATCACACACAACCGCACACTTCATAAATATTATTCATAATACTTATTATTCGTGTGTTCTATAAACAATGTTCTACATATCGTGGATTTTTCAACATTACGAATAAGCAACTTATTGTCCTAATGGTGCGCAAGAATTAAAACAATATAAATAAACATGTATATAGAATCAATATGCGAGAATTAAATTAAAAACAACAAGTCTCGAATTCAAAACTAAGAATCAAAGAGTTTCATCATCTATCCAATATAATTAAACTTAGCATAGCATATTAATATGAGAAATACTAGAAAATAAAAGGAAACCATCACTCGAATTTTATAAATATGAAGAAAATCTGGAAATCTTCGCTTGAAGCTTTGAAAATCGGACCCCAAAGGTGAATTCCTTCTTCTTCAATGTAAATTCTCTCTTCTTTTTCTCAAATACGGCCCTCTCCCAATTGCCACGGAATTTTCTCCTTATATCCTACCTCCAAAAGTGCCCTAAAACATTACCAAAAAATAAATTATGGAAATTACAATTTTTTCTCCATTTACCTTGAGGCACATGCCTAGTGTAGCCTAGGGCGCGTGCCTTAGGTGTTAGGGCAGCCTCAGTCGAGGAAATCCTGATGGGAGGTGCGCACCTCGTCTCCAGGTGAGGGTGCGCGCCTTAGGGCATGAGTTTGGGGCCAATTGCGTTTTGGCCCCTCAACTTTCCACAAGCTCATTTTTGCATCATTTTCTACTTTTATCCAGTCGTTGCTCTTCTCTTCATGTCCAATTTAATCATTGCATTCTCGACTTTCGTTTCTTGCTCCGAACTAAGTTTTGATTATTTGCATTTTAGTCCTCATCTTCTCTTGCTTGCTCCTTTTCTTCAATTTCCGTGTATTCATCGATGTGAACATAAAACATAGAATAAACAACAAATTTAGCCACAATTCAATCCAAATAATAACGAATATTCATGTTTTGACAATCTAAATAAGTGTACGGAATGCACTTATCACTAATTAAAAAACATTTTGCTTTAAAAGACTGATAACAATGCAAAATATTCACCAAAATGCGATTCTAGTTAGAGTGGTATCTAGTGTCAAGAACGAAAAAAAGTAAATCGATATGCTCAAACTTAATTCATTTGAAACTAATTCATAAAGATTCAAAAGCTAAATACAAGAACAACCCAACTATCCACAGAAAAAAAAAAAAAAAAGAAAAATAAGTTAAGAAATTTAATTTGTGCTGTGAAGATGTTGAAATTATTACATGAGGAGAAAATCCCGGGTTTTTATTCTCCTTCAACAACAGTGGCGTGTGTCCAATTTGTTGCACTACCAGTCCGGGGAATGCTGGGAAGTTTAGTAAACAGGTCCACTTCAAAAATGACAGCCTCAATGTTTCATTCATCATCCTCTCGTGCAGTTGCTCTTACCATATGAAGTGGATGATCAAAAAAAATCAGCCCACTACCGCTTATAAAGATTTAGCCTGCAAAATTTGGCGACTTTATTGTTGGAGAAAATAATGGTGAATCAAAGTAATAGATGAAACCGAAGGCCCGTGTTCACACGGTTTCCTTAAATCGAATTCGCCGCCTCACCGGGGTGCACGAGGTTTTTGTTCGGTGTTCGATTCCCAGGATACAATCGGTTATCGGTCCACGTTGCACTACGTTACCGACCTACGAACTTGCTGTGTCTATCTCTCGAAGGAATAAGCGAAGAAAAGAAAAGAAATAAAGAACAGAAGCTTGAAATGAAGGAGGAGGAAAGCTGCTGTTGTGCTTGCTGTTCACTATGTTTTTTGTGTCTATGATGTGTGTTTCTTCAACCAACGGGATCCTCTATATATACACATGGATGAGAGGTGTGGTCATTAAGACATTGAAGAGGAATTGAAGAGCACGGCTGAAACTGAAAAATGAAATTTATTCCATGAATTAAAATCTGAAACTGAAGGAGGGGAACAGCTGCTGAAACGGACTGAGCTGCTGAAATGGAAACTGGAACAGCTCTGATCATATTTTCATTCATTTTCCATTCATTTCCAACATTTATCTTAGTAAATTTAGATTTAACTACGTAGAAATGTTTTTACTATTCTTATCTATCCCATGTCCCATGGGTTTGGACAGTCGAGTACACTTTGACACCACTAACTTTTTACTAGTAAAAAGGGCCAAACCTGGAGGGAAGGGCGTCTAGCATTTTCCACAAGCGGCTGAGATGAGATTGGGATC